TCGAGTCTTCTGGGCTCGACAACGGGTAGTTCGATATCACGGACTCGGCTCAAGCAATCCCAACCTCGACCGACACAACTTATCTCCTCAAAACACAAAAACAAAGAAAAAACACGAAGCAAAACACAACAAAAAGACACAAAAAATAAACTAAAGACAAAAGGACAAAACAAAAAAAATGGACCAAATAAATTACGAAAAACCTACAATGGGGAAAAACAAAAAAGAAAATAAACATGAAATAAAGACACAAAAATGGGACAAACAACTCCCCCACACTAAGACCTTTGATCGTCCCGAACAAAAATAAAAGAAAAGAAAAGAGAAGAAAAGAAAGGAAAAGAGAAGAAAAGAAAAACGAGCCTAGACATCAGTCGATAACAAGAGAAGCCTCAACATGTTCAACTTCAACAATGAGCATTCAAATGGCACATACGAACATAACACGACTACATGCTTGATCGCTAAACTTTAATATGGCGTCCTCTCAAATGTGGGAGTGTATATGTGTGCCTCACTCACTTTCTCATACAGATAAAGACATAGGTGCACTCAAATTGGTCGATAACAAGTTCAATCATAGGATTGCCCATTGTCTAACTTCTACTCTAAACCAATCAAAATGGAAAAAAGTGAATCAAAATGTCTTTCAGGGTTGTAACGTAGGCTCTTTAGACAGGTATGATAAATATAGGCTAAGTGGCTCAAATACAACTCAAACTCCTAACCCAAGAATGCACGCTCTACCGGTTACTCAAACAAGCCGGATCTTTCCCCACACTTCTTCTAAAAACACACGTTTCACCCAACTTATTTTGTTTTGTTCCTTTTTTTTTTTTTTTAAAATATAAACAAAACTCCACAATTATCAGGAAGGTTATAGTAAGCGGATAAGCTTTTCTCAACCCGAGACTCAACAATGTCATCATCACGAGGTTATATATAAAAAAAACAATTCGGCTCAAAAGGGCAACTAGGGAATAACTGCAGAAAAAACAAGGATAGAAAAATACAAAAAATGCCTTAAACATATTCACAGTTCACAACCTAAATTAATTCATTTCGATGCAGACTCAGGGCAAGTTCTAATCAAACAAGAGCACAACCAATGTATCTCAAGAAAGAAATAAGGCTCAAACCTCACTAGGCAAATATATGAATGTCAATCAAAGCCATTAACCAAGCATTTCGTCACGCTATGCCATACAATACCATCATCACAACTCATCGAATTCATTAAACACGTCTTAACTCATCATGAAATTTCCAAGTACAGACCCCAAAACACATAAATCCTACACTAGACTGGTCCACAAGCAAAAGAAAGAAATAAAACACACCCTAAAACAAAAAAAAACTAGACCTGGTCAATCATATAGCCACATAAACTCCCCCACACTTAAAATCAGACAATGTCCCCATTGTCGATCCGCAGTGAAAGGAAGTTGTACTTACACAATCAACCAACACAACAAAAGAAAAGAGAAAATACAAAAAGAAACAAAATAAAGAGAAAAGAAAAAGAAAAGCTAACCAACACAGTGACAAGTCACTGTGGTCCATGAGGAGGAGAAGGAGGAGGAGGATAGGGCTAGCCGGTGCCGGAGCTCCACTGTGCGAACCGCGCATCCCACTGAGTCTGTCATAGCTCAATACCCTGAAAGCGGGCATTCATGTCCCGCATGTCCCGATCATAGCGGTCCTCGTAAGCCGTCCACCACGGAGGAGGCTGAGACCACCAAGCGGGTGGTGCAGATGGCTCCGCTAGGCGCCGAGGCGAACGTGTGGTCCGTGGCTCCCGGGAATCAGCCTCCGAGTCCGGTTGCCAATCAGCAAGAGACGGAAGGAGATGGGCCTCGTCGATAAGAGTCTGATCGTGCTCCATATCCGCCGTCTCGTGGGTATCCTCGGTCATCTGCTGAGGACGAGACAAGCCTGCTTCAGCCGCGGAGGCGACCGCGGCCACCTTCTTCATATAGGTGTTGTAGGTCGGGCGCTTCGAATAGACCTCAAAGGTGCGGCGATCAAGGAGGAGGCCCGCATGACTGAGCTCGTTGTAGTCAATGAACCACATACTAGAAGGAAGGTTGCCAGACGCCGCCGGGTCGAACTTGAAGTGCAAAGCCAAAGCGGTCACGATATGACCAAAGTAGAGCGCCGCTCACTTGTTCCGAATGATGGCCCAGCACTCATCCTTAAAAAAATCCAACAGATCGCTGCACTTCCTTCCGAGCATAGCCCACAGCAGGGGGAGGTCAATCTGAGTGACCTTATTGGCTTCCTTCTTCTCGAACACACCATAGCACAAAAATTTGTGCATCATAGCGACGTCACCGTCCTTGATTAGGCTATTAGCCATGCCTTTGGAATCCCACACCGTGTCGGGAGAAAGCTGGGGCCAGAAAATATCAGGAGTCATGCCCTCATTCATCCTTGCACCGCCACTGTGGAGACCCACAACCTTTTCCATGATGTCGACAGTGATGATCCTCTCCGTCCAAAATAGACGGCACGTCATGTTGTCCTCGGTCGCCGGCATCTCGAGGGTACTGAAAAACTCAAGTGTGAGGTTGCGGTACGTCGGGTGGACCAAACGGGCATAAGTCGTCAATCGAAGCGAATCAAGGTAGGACTCGATAGTCCCTAGAATCCCCAAATCAGAGAGCAATGCAAAGTCGAACGTCTTGGATTTCAAGACATCCTTCTTCGCGAGCCAGACATAAACCTCCCCCTCTGAATACGAAAGAGAGCATCGTAGTCAGTCCGTAAATCGACCGGCTCGTCCCGCGAAGCAGAGGATTCTCTGACGGTCTTCTTACGTTTGTTACCGGCTCCTTTCCTAACCATATTGAATCAAAAGAGTCGTTCGAGCAATTCGTCGAACACGTAGAGTGCAAGAATAAGAACCTCACGCTTGTAGAGCGACGAAGATGGCAAGACCCCTTGTGCCAATCACACAGCTTAACAAACAATTCACACACGAGTCCACTGCGCCACAAGACAACAAAGAGTACGATTACCGGGTGTTGGCTTCGAATATGCATTGAAGGAGCTTGAAGAAACGAAAGAGCGACAGATGGAGTGAAGGAGTGCTACTGGCTGCTGATGGTAGGAGGTGGTGGACGCCGGTGGTACGAGCTTGCCGGAGATGGAGAGTCGTCGGTTGTCGGGGTAGCCAAACGCCAGCGAGGCTTGGTCGGAACGGAAGGTGGCAGGGCGTGAGCTGTCGCGAGCGGTGGAGAGTGAGCAGGCGGTGGCAGGAGGAAGCTTCAATCGCGAGAGGTTGAACGGAGGTGTTGCAATTGCGAGGGGAATAGATAGAGACGGACTCGCCGTTGATGGAGGGTCGAGGTCGGAACCGCCGGGTGATGGAGGGTCGCCAGAAGTCTGAGAAAAGGGCTAGGTTTAGGTCGTGAGAGGGAGCGAGTGAGCTGCGAGAGAGAGCGAGTGAGACGAATTCACCGGTGAAGGAGGGTCGCCGGAGATCGGAATCGCCCGATGGTGGAGGGTCGGCAATGTGCAAGAGTCTTTGGACGCGAGGTGCTGCTATCGCGAGAGAGAGAGAGGTTTTTTCTGCAAAACAAAACGAGGAGTTCAGATTTAATTAACAAGTAAGTCACGACAATGTGTCGCGAGTCGCGAAAAAAACTGCGTGCGGCATCAGATTTTTTATGGGGATACTTGCGACTCGCGACGGCTTCGCGAGTTGCGACTTCAGTGTTGCGAGTCGCGGAAAAAACAGGGACCGATGACATATTTCGTGGGCTAACTCGCAACTCGCGACATGTCTCGCGAGTCGCGAAAAACGACTTTTTTTATTTTTTATTTTTATTTTTTATATGCAATAAAAATAGATATATATACACATAGTACAAGAAACGCTCGGTTTTAAGCCGGGAGCTCGACATAGATGCCTTAGATCAAGGATACGCTGGATCGCCGAGACCGATGGTCTCGACATGGTACTTCCCGAACTCCCCATCAAAATATGGCTTCACTCGCTATCCGTTAACCACAAATAACTCGTCATTAGCTGGATTGCGAAGTCGAATGGCCCCAAAAGACAGCACCTCATTAATAACATATGGACCACTCCACCGGGACTTCAGTTTTCCCGGAAAAAGACAGAGTCGGGAATTATACAGAAGAACAAGCATGCCCGGTACCAGCTCCTTTCTACAATATGGGCATCATGGAGTCTCTTCACCTTGTCTTTATAAATCTTGGCATTCTCATATGCCTCGTTCCTCCTTTTTTCTAACTCCGATAGTTGCAACAGTCTAGCCTTTTCGGTTGCATCTAGATCAAGGTTTGTCTTCTTAATGGCCCACAAGGCCTTATGCTCAATCTCCACCGGTAGGTGACAAAACTTCCCATAAACGAGTCTGAAAATTCCCAAGACGCTTTTGTATGCTGTTTGCTGGGCCCACAAAGCGTCATTGAGCCGGCTCGACCAATCCTTCCTTGATGAATTGACTGTCTTCTCTAGGATAGTCTTGATCTGCTTGTTGCTCGTCTCTGCTTGACCCGAAGTTTGTGGATGGTAGGGGGTAGCTACTTTGTGAGAAATGCAATACTTCTTCATTAGTTTTTCTCAAAGATCTTGTTGCAGAAGTGCTTTCCCCCATCATTCACTATTGCTCTTGGTAACCCAAACCTGCTCAATATATGACCTTGCACAAACTTCGTGACCTAGTCGAGTAATGCGATTTTAAACTAAGAAAAAAAAGTTCTGCAGAAAAAGTATGTTAACCCTTTTGTTGTGTGGATGTAATTTTGGCAAACCAAGTGGTGGAGGGTGGGGTTCCACACCTTTTGCTTCCAAGGGAAGCAATTCGTCTTAAGAGAACTGATGCGTTTTTACTTGAAATATGAAAACATGTACTTTCTGATTCTCATTGCAAAGGCTTCCTACTTTTTGCATGCTTTGCCACTTTGGTTCAAGAATATGATTTTTGAGTGTAATGCTGAATAAATGGTTTCAGGAGTGACTTCGACAGCGTGGTCCATTTGATGCTGTGATCGATGGTGCGAACTTGGGGCATGCTAATCAACATAAATTCAGTTTCCTTGAGGTAAAAATGAATTCTTTTTTATTCACTACCTATATTCCTATGTGTCTTAGCATATCCTTGAGCAACATATACAAATGATTCACATCGGTGTTTTTGCTTGTTTGGAGATTGCGAGAGTTGTGAATCAAATGCGTCAGATCAGCCCTTCAAAGAAATTACCACTTGTTGTTCTACATCAGAGCCGAGTAACTGGTGGTCCAGCTCAGCATCCTAACAACAAGAAATTGCTGGAAAGCTGGAAAAAAGGCAGGGGCACTTTATGCGACACCTCAGGGTTCAAATGACGATTGGTACTCACTTAATATTTTTGATCTAGTTGTCCATTGCAAATGGAGCTGGAAGAGTCATTGTTGGCAATTCTCCTGGCATGGTGCTAATAATGGACTAGATCAAAATGGCTCAATTAAATTCTAGTGCTTCTTCTATTAGTGAAGTTTCTAGAAAAAAAAATATATCAAACGGCGGAATGCACCTCAGATCGCTACGGAAACAGCCTCCTTATATAATTACAAGGGTAAGGTCCCCCAGACCCCAACCTGTTGGGAATATACTGGGTATGTTGTTGTTGTTGTTGTTGTTGCAATAGTTTTCTACTTCTTTACTTTCTCTCTTTTTTTTTTCATCTATTTTTTGAAGTTCTTGTTTTTATTACTAGTTAGTAAGAAATGCATTATTTTTATCGATTTTCAATTATGATTCAAATATATATGCTGATGATTACATGTTCAGTAAATCAAGCTTTTGAGACTCCTTGAATAACATATGTCGTCATTCAAAGTTATGAGCTTTTTTGTGCCAGTTTCATTTGACTTCTTTGATAAGGCACTTCCTTTGAATAGAAAATTACAACTATAATAGAGTTGTTTATTTCAGTCTTGTTGAATGAAAATTGACTTACAGAATCACTGAAAGCCTCTGCCTGTCAGTCTGAGAAACAACGTGAGGATTTGTGAGAAACTACTCTGATAGGCGTACTAGACAACTTTGTTTCATTATATCATTTTATTTTGGATAAACTCCACGGACTAAGCTTTCTTTCATCAAGTGTTCTAATATAAAAAGAATCTACTATACAGTTTTAACTTCTTTTACAGCTTCCTTTCCTGTCTTATGTTATTTTTTTAAGTCATCTTAGCTTTTGGAATTACAATATACATGCATCTCCGAATACTCATCATGCTACTAAGACATTCCACTTTAGTTATGGCATTGTAATTACTCTCTCTCTCTCTCTCTCTCTCTCTCTCTCCCTTTCATTCCCTCTCTCGTTAATAGGTATTGGTTGTATGCTGCTGTGAATTCAAAGTGCTTACTGGTTACAAATGATGAGATGAGAGATCACTTGTTCAATCTTTTAGGCAATAACTTCTTTCCTAGATGGAAAGAAAAGCATCGGGTAGTTTCTTTCATTCGTGGCTATTACGTTATTGTTTATCCAAAAAATTCAAAGTAAAAGCCCTTAATTTAACAAAGCGTATTGTTGCATTGTGATGGGTAATTGGTCACTGACTGGAAAGGAATGAAAGGCATTTACATTCTAAATCGTTAATGCAGGGAAAACAATAAAGTAGCCTGATGTGAATTTACATGTAAATATTCACGAATCTACAATATTGAATGAAAGCAAATCAAAATTATGAAACATCTCACATTCTTTTTATTTTTTTAATTTTTTTTTTTATTTGGGTTCTTGTAATTCAATGAATTGCAGGTCCGGATAAAACCATCTCTTAAAGGGCTACTAACCTTGCGCATGCCACTGCCTTATTCACTTGTCATCCAGGTAGGATAATCCCTCAATCATCTTTGTGCATTATTTTCATATCTGAAGAATAGTCACAAGGTAGTTGGCATATACCAACTGTTACTGGAGATGATCTTGAGACCCCAAGACAATGGCTTTGTGCTACAAGGATGAAACCACAGGTTTAGTCCCCATCATTACATGTAAGATGAGAGATGAACATACTGATATGTTGGAATTCATTCTGCTTGGGTATTCTTTCTGCCTTCAACCATGGCTTTGTGTAAGCTTAGATGGAAATTAAGAATCTTGGTCATAAATGCAATGTTTAAATTAAAAATAAATGACCAAATGTGTAATACCTTTGACAAGGGTCCTTTTCCGATGATCATTTACTTTATATATTGTCTTTTTGTTTTACAGCATGTGTACTGTTATTCAATTTCAGTAAATTACCTTAATCAATCCTTTAGCTGTTACAAGCAGATAAATTATGGGATGCAATGCGATATTCTAATGGAAAACAATTGTGCTAGAGAAAAAGGGGGGAAAGAAGATATCCAGAGTTGCAACAAAAACTTTCCTGTTTTTCATTATTATTCAGGGTATTTGGTACAAAAGCCCCACTGAATCTATATTTTATTTCAGAAAAAAAAGGGACTATTAGCAGCATTACTTTCCGATCAGTTCGAAGATGGCAGCTATAAATAATAGAATCAATACAAAATTAAGCTTTGAAAGACTGAAAGCAGACGGCAATACATTGCTGTTTCCAGACAATTTGTCCTTAACTTGGATGCTTGATGAACCCGAGCCAACTTGCAAAGAATATAGTTACAACTCACAACACGTCTGGAGGTTTTTACAACTCACAATTTGCAAAGAATAACTTACAAATAATTCGATCCTGACTAATTGTTCGAATTACCTCCCCATGTTTAAGATTTAGTGTCCATTGATTAATTTAATTATTGACAATATAATTGATTAAATAATCTATACCACTCAGTTCTTTAATATTATGTCGTAAATAAATCCGTCTGCAAGACTTAACATAATAATCTTTCATGAACTCATTTCGGGGACGTCATCAACCCAACAGACCGGGACACAGTGAATGTAAACAATCTCTAAAGTACACCATACACTCGGTCATTACTTACCAAAATACAGTCTATAGACCTACCAGAATAAGTCTCAGCCATGGTAAATCAAATAAGCAAGTACCAAATATACATGTCAGTTTATATTGTCTTACGGGTTAAGAGAACGCAACAATTACTGAGGTCTAGATTATTTACTTGATCAGTTTAAAATAAGCTTATCCCCCGTAAGTCCGTCTAATACATTCAACATGTACTAGTGTAATTCATTAGGCAAAGTCTGACTAACTAAAAATCACATAACAACCATTCACAACAGTTAGTTCAATTCCGTATAGGCTGTGAACAATTAATTTATATTTTACAAGACACCAATAATATGGTCTTTTTGTTCGACACATCGAATCATATTATCTACAATGTAAAATAAAGTAACTATGTTCGTATAAATAAATACACTGCAAACACAACATTAGCTAAAACATGATTCTTCATTCAAAATGGTATTGTCAGAAACTAAAAGTCAAGCTTAGTGTCGAGAAGTGAAAGATTAGCAATTAATGCAATTCTTGAGTAGTAATAGTGGTGGTATATATGCATTGACAACTAATGTATGTTCATGACATTTGTCTAAGTTTTTTACATGGAAAATCAGACATTCAGTGCAATGCGTAAACTATGCAAATAATATGCGAAACATTTTCTCCGGATATGCAATTCATGATGTGGAACGAAAAATTGGTGAATTGTACTAAACTATGTGGCTTTCGATTTGGATGCGCAATTCTTAAATATGTGAACATATTACAAATAATCGGCGTTATAGATTTCAATATGTGAGCCGTAAACTATGCGATCATTTATCGCATAAATATAAAATATGCGACGTTCGATTGGGATAAGCAATTCGTGAATATGCGAAACGTTATCGCATATGGTAAAATCAATTTTGATACCATATATCCTTACAAACTTAAAAAATTATAAACTGATTATTCTTATACAATTATATACAAATCAATAAAATATAAATATTATATGTCACAAAAAAAATAAATCTATAATATATTCAAATTGATTATTATTAAATAAAATTCTATCTGTTTTCTATTAAATTATCATGCATCATTGATGTAATTTATTTTAATTTTAATGACATTTATAAGCCAAAATCATTTGTATATAAAATAAAATACTTTATAAATAGAATTTTTGTTTTGAGAATCAAAAAAATATTGTTGACCTCGAATTGGTAAGCAATAATGTAAATCTTAATTGATTTCTTCCTTATTTTATCATGTCGGGTTTAACCCGAAGACGGAGAAGCCTGTTGTCCCCGTGTGGTGCCGTCTTCCTGGCCTCTCACCCCACCTTTACGACCGTGCTGCCATCACTACGCTTGCTAAGTGTATTGGACAGCCGATTCGTATTGACGCCCCGACGGCCCTTCAGTCGAGGGCTAACGTGGCGCGATTTTTCGTAGAGATAGACCTCAGAGTTGAGCCCGTCCATGAGATTGAGATTAAGCAGCGCTCGGAGACCTTTACTCAGCGGGTGATCTATGAGAAGATCCCGGCGTTCTGCACTTTGTGCAGTCATGTGGGTCATGTTTCGGCTGCTTGCTAGACTAGTGGCAATAAGCCAAGGCCCACACTTCCGCAGCTCCACCGTGCGACCCAGCCGGGGAGCTCCACCGGTCGAAGGGACCCGAAGGGAAAGGGCAAAAGCCCTCTCCGCGCGCCCGAGACCCCGAAGGGGTCTAAGAATAAGGGCAAGATTGTGATTGTCGACACTGCCTAAACTGGGAAGGATGCTCATCCTAACCAGCCTAAGCAGTTGGCCATAGTAGGGCCCAAGCCCAAGTCCACGGGCTTTCTCCCCAGACAGACCTTACAGTCGGCCTTCAAGGCCAACCACTTGTACTTTTCTATTCTCTCTCCAGAGGCAGAGAATGAGGCTGTGCCTTCCACCAATGGCCCACCTAGGATTACGGACCTTACGCTTCTGGATGACGACGACCTCCTCGCAGACGATATGGACCAGCCGGACGCCTCGTCCAGGGGAGAGTCCATCCACCTATCTTATGACAGTGCGCGCGATGCCGGTCCTTTGACTGTGCACGTATCTAGCCCGGTCCGATCTTTGGATTTGAGGGCTACTGCCATCACCGCTCCCTCGAAAGGGGATGAGTCGGCCCATCTCCTCCCTGCTGAGATTGGGAGCTCGGCTGAGCATATAGCCAGCCCCCACCCTCCTTCTGGGGGAGAGCGCCTGAGTGCTCCGCGTGCTAGACCTTCTCTTTCATCCATCCCCGAGTAGGCATGTGGTCTTAACCGCGCTCAGTATGACGTCTCGTGCGAGAGCTTCGCCTCTAGTGCCTTCGTTCACTATGACAGACAGGAGACAGCCCCAGAGATGGGGCAACCCGCTAGTGCCGCTATAGGTCAGACTGCCCAGCCAGACGACACACAGGCCACGAGCACCTACCGAGGCCGGCAGTCCACGAGGACCAGAGCCACGCAGCGCACGACACGACGAACGGTCTCCCCTGCTATTTGATCCTTTCGCCACATTCCTTCTTTAGGTGGGCCGACTCAGCCTCGCCACAGGCGGGCTATGTCTGGTGGCTCTTGCGACCGGTTATATGTCTCTCACATCAATTACTTGGAATGGCCGTGGCCTGGCAAATAGGGCTACTCTCTCGCACCTTCATTCTCTCTCTCGTGATCACAGACTCGATTTTGTTGGCTTTATTGAGCCGATGATTCGCACCCCCTCTTTTGACTACTACTCGCATCGCCTTGGCTTCTACTCGGGCGTGGGTAACATTTTGCATAAGATCTGGTTCTTTCACTCGCGTGACTACACTTGTCGGGTCCTCCATAACACCGATCAGGTGCTTCACGTTGAGCTTTCTGCTGCCCACCTCCCAGAGCCATCTTCCACACCTTGGTTTATGCCAAGTGTACTAGGGTCGGGCGATATGACCTTTGGGACACCCTACGTGAGATTGCTGAGAGTATGGAGGGATTGCCATGGATAATTAGTGGCGATTTCAACATCTTTCTGCATCCCGATGAATGTGTGGGTGGCCGATCGGACCGGTCACGGGGGATGTGGGCTTTTGCTCAGGCGGTGGCGGACTGTGAGTTAATTGACACTGGATGTGATGGTGAGCCCTTCACGTGGGCGAGGGATGGACTCAAAGAGAGGCTCGACCGTGCCTTGGTTTCTGAGGCGTGGGCAAATGTGTTTGTGGTTACGATCGTCACACACCTTACTCGATTTGGATCTGACCACTCACCCCTTCTCATCCGGTGCCGATTTTCGAGCACCCCCCGCCGCTCTTCCTTTAGGTTCCAGAACATGTGGGTTTGCCACCACTCCTTCCACGACACTGTCAGGGATTCCTGGCTTCAGTCGACTGGGATCTTCGGGATGCGCAATCTCGAGGCGAAGCTCGGCAGACTGCGGCGTCGGTTGAGACAGTGGAACTGGGATGTCTTTGGAAACCTTCATCAGCGCCTTTCTGCGGCTCAGAGTGCGCACGAGACGGCTGAGCGGGCCTATGACCTGGACCCCACTCCGGAGAATAGGACTGCGATGCACCGCTGCCACGCCGAGTACCAGCTCCGACTCCTTATGGAGGAGGACTTCTGGAAGCAGAAGGCAGTCGTTCGCTGGGTGGTCGAGGGCGAGCGGAACACTAGGTTCTTCTAGAGCTACGTTAGGCAGAAGCGTGCTAAGTCGTACATCCATAGTATCGAGGCTGGTTGGTCATCCCTGACCCAGGAGGCGCAGATTCGGGAGTCGGCTGTTGCTCACTTCCAGACCCTCTTCACCTCTGACAGAGGATCCCTCATGGCCTCGACCGCTTCTTTTTTCCCCCACCATCCCTCCTTCGGTCGATCTTATTGGTCTCTGTGAGCTCCCGAGTAGGGAGGAGATTAGGGATGATGTCTTCGAGATTGATCCCAACAGCGTTTCTGGCCCGGATGGTTTCTCCTCTCTCTTCTACCATGTCTGCTGGGATTTAGTCGAGACTGACGTCAAGGAGGCAATGTTGGATTTTTTCTCCG